GTGTGCCACTGCACTCCAGCCTGGGCGACAGAGTGAGACTCCAACTCAAAAAAATAATAATAATAAGCAAATAGGAAAAAGTGTGGTTTAATGTGCAAGATAAGCCCACTTCTCATACGACGGGCCTGGAGGCAGGTGGGGGACCAGACACAGTCCTATAACCTTCCCTAGCTGGCAGAGGCTGGGAAATGCAGCCTTTATCCTGGACGGCCATCGTTCTAAAGACCAGGCGTCCCACTATCAAGAGAGAAGGGGTGGGTGGGATTGGGTGTGAGACTGGTAATTGGGTGTGCTGGTGCTGTGGGCCAATGCAAAGCAGGCCGCAGAAGTCAGCTGTCCAGCTGGGCCCAATGAGGCATAACCACGTGTGTCATCGACGTGCCCATATCAAACACTCTGCTCTAAGCTCACTGCTCCCCTTTGGGAGCAGGAGCGAGTCTGGCTTCCCCGCTCTCTGGGCCAGGCGTGCGTCTCAGGGAAGCTGCTCCCGATGGCCAGGACGGCGAGGTCGCTTCCTATGCAGTGGCTCCAAGCGCCCCCAGCACTGGGCCTGGGCTTGGCCCGAGGCCTGGGTGTTTGTTCCGCCAGTGCAGGAAATGGAGAAACCTGCTCTGTCTCCACCCCAACACAGCAGAGTAGTCGGCGGGTGGGCACAGGCTCTGCTGGTGCTTCAGCCAGCGCTGCCCAAATACAGTTGCTCTCTGCCACCCTCAAGAGCTCGGCCATGTTTTGCTTTTAAGTCAACCCTCATTTTTAAAAACACCTTAAGTTGACTTTTAAAAAAAAATCTATCACTACTGTAAATGGAAAGGTAGTACGACCCGCCCTAGATGGACGGTAACTAAAAACTTGGCTAAGATCCTACCAAAGGCTCTGGACCTGACACCCGTTTTCTCTCAGTTAAAGACGAGGCAGCATTATTTATTTTTTTTTGAGTTGGAGTCTCACTCAGTCGCCCAGACTGGAGTGCAGTGGCCACTCCCGGCCACCGCAGCCTTGACCTGCTGGGCTCCGGAGATCCTTCCACCTCAGCCTTCCGAGTAGCCATAATTACAGGCATGCCCTACCACGCCCGGGTAATTTTTGATTTATTGTAGAGATGAGGTCTCGTCAAGTTGCCCAGGCGGGTCTCGAACCCGCGGGCTCAGGCAATCCACTCACCTCAGCCTCCCAAGGCACAGAATTACAGGCTGAGCCACTGAGCCTGGCATGAGGTAGCATTAAACTGTCTTCCTCCTTGAGAAAGTTAGCATGGAATTCCTTACAGCATCCCTCAATGTTCCTTAATGCCTTTCAGTCGCCACCAACAGTCATTTCTCGGGGAGTCTGTATTACCCATGCTGGGAAGTATCTGAACTCTGTGCACCTCAGTGTCCCCCATCTGTATGATGGGGCTAACAGTATGCATCTTATAGGATGATTGAGACTGTTACATGACACCATGCATGCAACATCTCCGTCCATAAAGCACTTGGCTCACAGTATAGCACACAGGTGCTGGCCATTATTTGTCAGTTTCGTGGAGGAGAAAATTGAAACATAACCTGAGGAGGATAAAACAACAAAACAAAATAACTAAACTTCAAAGTGGGGACAGGGGACATAAAACCCCAATCACTTCATTTAACAATGGAAGACGCTTTATTATTTTTTAAATAATCTCTCAACATTTCAACTCTCGGTAGAAACCAAGTGCAAAACATCCGCATTTTAAATTAGCATATATTTAACCATCTCAATCACAGCAACCTCATACAGTAAGTTACACACCAAAGAGCATGGCCATCATATTTTAAGTCTAGTCCGTGAACAGTATTTCCGTGATGAGGGAGACGCTGGACATTTTCCTCCTAGGATGAGTTGGTTGTTCCTGCTTTTGCCCACCGGGTAGGCTACGTGGCATCACGGTTGGTTAAGAGGGAGTTACTGTAATGCTGGAAATGGAGCCATCTGAAAGCGGAGGCCTAGAAAACTAGGCTCTCAGGGGTGGGTGAAGAGGAGTAACATCGAAGATGAGGGCCTGGATCGGCAGGTCTCAATGACAGAGAGGGCTGAATTCAGCTTAGTATACACTTGTCTATCTGCATGTGGTCTACCAGGTGTGTGTGTGTGTGTGTGCGCGCGCGCGTGTATATATATATATTTATTTATATATATGTATAAAGAGCCATATAAGATTTGGAAAACCTTAAAATCACTCAATTGAGTTGGAAGAACATCAGCAAATTCAGTGGTCTCGGGGTCCAGCCAGTTTTAATCCTGCCCACCAGCTGAATACCTTTCTCCGAGGAAACCCCGTGTAGTCTTGACATCGTGCACTTCACAAACACTTATGGCTAGGATACAGGATTTTTCTTGAGAAAGCGGCTTGGTCTTCAAGCTCTGGACCCACTCTTGCTCTGTGCCCCCAACAGAAACATCCCAGGGCCGGTGACTCAGAGCTCAGGGGCCTTCAGTCTGGAAGTGCTCAAGCTCCTCAGGGAGGCTCCCAGACATCCGACTCCTGCCCACCTTTAGTGCAAAAAGGTCGCAAATGCTGCAGACGAGTCCTGGAGACGGTGGAGAGGACCGAGAGGGAGGGGAGAGAGCCCACGTGACTCTCCTTCTGAATCAAGACTCGAGGAAGTTCAGAGCGCAAGGTTCCCGCTCAGCAATGCCCAAGGCCAGGGCTGCAGAGGTGGCAGGTGAGGTCCTCGCGTCATCCCTAGGTCAGCACGGTCTGCAGGCACAGGCCTCAGCCCACACTGGCCCCGAAGTACACTGGAGGTAGGTGTAGAGATACGTATTGTAGGGAGACGGTGGCTCTCCACCAACTCAAGGAAGAGGGACTGCGGACTTGCTTTTGCCCTCCTGCCCCGACGCTCCACTCCCCCTCAGCCGCGAGGAGCAGAGGAGACAGCGTGAGGGCGTGAGGCCTCCCATGGAAGACTAGAGAACCTGGGCGTTCCTATAAATAGCTACATCAATTTGTTATAACCACTTTGAAACACACAGCAAGTTGAATATTTATTTAAAAATAAATCTCAAAAATATCTATGTACAGTACAGTAAGGGGGCATGTGCAAACAACAGAAAGGAGGAACCAGTCCTGCTGCAGAAGGCCACTCGCCCACCAGGCGCCGTTCACACGCGCCGTGGCTGGCCAAGCTGTGGTGGCCACAAGATGACATCTGCTTGATACTGGACTCTGTTCACCACTGACACCCAGCGAGGTGGGAGAGCAGGGACAGGGAGCCCACTGGGATCCTGGTGTCTGACAGGGGCGGCCAAGGATGAACCGCTGGGAGAGGCCCCGTGTGGCCGGAGGGCTCATTTCACAAGCCAACAGGCCTCTAGCCCGCCGCTCCAGGGGCCGTCTGGTGACCGGAAGGGCCCTTCCCAGCCCAAGTTGGCTTTGCAGTGGGAGGGGTAGGCATGGCAAGAGTCCCAGATGGAAGTCCTCTTTGAAGGAAAAAAAAACCCAAACAACAAAGGAGAGAGTGATTAACAAAAATGAATCAGAACGGAAGTGCCACCCTCTCCCTCTCGGACGACAAAGCAGCCATCACTGAAACATCAGAGTCGCAAGTAGATGCCCACGTGGACGCAGCCAACCCGCGATCCCTGCCACCTACATGGTCAAATGCAGGCCTCTGCTGCTGAGAGCGGCACGATATGCTTCTTCACCATAAAACCGGAGGTCAGTGGTGTAGCCCTTGGAGCGGGAAGGTGCAAGGTAAGTCTATCTGTACACAAGGTGGGAGAACAGGGTGGCCTTGTAGTTCAGCTGGTTGTTGGGCATGAACTTGTGCAGCTCACTCTTTTTGTAGCAGGGGTCGTAATGGTAGGCGCTGAGACAGGCGTCGCAGGAGACTTTTGAACACTGGGTGCAGGTGTTGGTGGCGCCCGGGCGATTGCAGAAGCCACAGCGGGAGGTGGCCGTGGCGGAGGACTTGGGTTTAGAGTGGAGGTGCGGCAGCCGCTCAAGACCCTGGGCCTGGCCCGAGTGCTTCTCCCGCAGGGGCGCCCCATGGGCCAGGCTGTCGTGGGCAGAAGCCTTGCCGGGGAAGGCGCCGGGCTTGGAGGCCGGAGGACAGGCCAGCAGGCTGTCGCAGCGCTGGCAGAGAGGAGAGCTGCAGGACAGGCCGCAGCTTTGGCACTTGGGCAGGGCAAACTCTTTGGCAGGGGGTGTGCGCTTGTGGGAGAGGGGGTGGGCGTCGTTTCTGACCAGCCACACGTCTGGCCGTAGAGCATCCTGCCGCCGGTGGGTGGCCCTCGGCTCCGAGTCTGTGTACAGGTCCACGTCGTCCTGGGTGGAGAAATAGGTGCTGCGCAGCAGGCCGAGGCCATTGTGAGGGGAGGCGGGGGGGAGGTCGTCCGGGCTGCCGTAGGGGGAGCTCGACATGGCCAGGAGTGAGGGGGATGGGCGGATGATCTCGTCCTTGAGGCTGTCCCCCGGGTCAGCCACCACAGACTCCTTCCGGAGGCTCAAAGAGGCCTTCAGGGGTGGCTTCCGGCTCTCCCAGTAGCTGTCGTAGGCATCCACCGACCTCGAGGGCTTGGTCACGCGGGGCTTGTAGTAGTCCTTGGCCGCCCGCTCGCTGGCCGACTTCTGGAGCGCCACCCGGGCCATGGAGGCTGTCAGGTGCTCACGGCCCTCAGCCCGCCGCCGCAGGGCGTCTGAGCAGCCGCGCACATCCTCCGAGCTGCTCCGGCGCTCGCTAACGACGTCCAGCTCTGAATAGCCTTTGTCCTTCACCTGCGCGTGAATCTCCAGCATCTGCTCACACTCGACCTTGGCCAGAAAGAGCTCAAAGGAGACCATCTTCACCTGCAGTGTCTCCACTAGCTCCTTGAGCTTGTAGGCAGTCCCCAGCTCAGGTACGTAGCCCATGTGGTTCAGGATGGCACGGATGTCCTCCTCCAGCAAGGTCGACTTGACAAAGTACACAAAGGGGCCCGTGTAGGTCTAGGAGGAAGAAGAGAAAAGGGAGATGGGCTTTTCTCTCAGAGACACTTCAGGGACTGCATCAAAGACGGGCTGTCCAGGTCTGCGGGATGGGGCCGGGCAGGGGAGGTACTCCGTGGGTCCCAATGCAGGAGGCAGAGGCTCTGCTGCGAGAGTTCAGGGCAGGGCGTGAGGACACACCCAGCTCCTCTCCCAAATGCAGGACAGCGGCACGGGCTTCCCACTGGGGTGAGGCTCTGCTCCACCCGAGAGGAAGCAGGCAGCACAGAGCCAGGGGGCCGGGGGGCCAGGGGCCAGCAGAACCCCAAGCACCAGGCCTCCCTTCTGCATTTCCACAAAGGTTGGAGCGAACACAGACCCAAGAGCCTGACCTGGTGGGCACTCCTGGGTCAGCCCCTCCACGAACCCCCCATTCGCTCTGGCCCCGCTGCAATCACCCAGTAGTCCTCAGCTGGCTGGACATCAAGCCCTCCTCATGGGCCTCCACCTCCCTACCCGATCCCCCAGGCAGTCTCCCCCACACCACAGCCAGGGCCTTGCAGATATAACCAGATCCCGTTGGCCCCTTCCGGCCAGCTTCCGCAAACCCAAGCCCACCGGCTACTGGCTCTGCAGCTGTGGCCTGGTCAGCCCCACCTTCTCAACCTCAAGGTGTGGCCGCAGGGAGCTGGGAACCAGCTCAGAGGTGAAACTGGAGGGACAGGCGAGGGGGAACCATGGGGGCAATTCTGCTTGGTGTCCCAAGGCCGTCGGGAACCAAGAGTGTCTGAGCAAGACCCTCAGGATGGGCCGGAAGGGTGAAGGCCGCTGGAGGGCCGCTCCTCAGCCTCACCTTGATACTCCTGAACTCCTTCTTCCAGGGGTACAGAAAGAGGTTGATGCCCACCGTCTCTAGCACGCCAAAGGCACAGTGCAGGGCGCGCAGGCTAGAGGAGCTCCGTGCGCGCAGGGAGCTCTCCACCACCTCATAGAACTGGATTAGCCGGAATCGATAAAAGGGGTCCACCCTGTGCAGGCCGAGGAGGGTGGTGGCGGCCGCCCGCAGGCATTCATCGCTGCTGGGCCGCTGCTGGCTGGGGGCGGGGTCCACTCTGCCCTCGTGGAACTGCACGTACTTCCGAAATAGGTCATCCTTGTGTTTTGCATCCATTGAAGTGGGCTTCCCTATCCCACCGAAGGGGCTACCTTATTTCCTCCATGGCTTCAGGGTCAGAGGCAGGATCATCGCTAATGGCGCTGCCATGCCGCTGCCGGGACCAGCAGGTGCTCTGGAAGGGGAGGAACAAGACGCGTGTCAGTCCTCGAAAGGGTTCCCACGCCAGCTCTGTTGCTGAGGCAAAACAAAAAGCAGAACTGGCCTGAGCCCGTGCACCGCCAGCCCTGACTCCCTTCTGCTCCCTCAACACGTCCATGAACGTGCACGACGTGCAGGTGACAGCGGGGACCAGACAGACGCTTACTGCACTGCGCTCCCAGATGAAAACTGCAGTCAGCACTCTTACAGGAAGAGCTCAGGGTGAGCAGGGAAGAGCCGAGCCTGGCTGGTGGGCCAGAAGGGGCGCTGAGGTGGGCCCCGAGACAGCGGCAGCCAGACGGCAGAATGAGGCAGCCACGCTGCGGGGAAGGGCACGGGAGGAGGGCCCTGAGCGAGTGCGACCCACACGCCAGCACTGTCCACCTTCAGCACCCCTGGGGCTGCGGGCATCCCTCCATGGAAACGGAGACACAGACACCAGAAACTGCCTGAGGCTTCCGGCTGAAATCCCAGCCAAGCAGTCTGGCTCCAGAGTCCAGGCCCTTGCCCCCCACGCCCTACTTTCCCGAGGCAGGGCGCTGGCAAGTCACCAGAGGGCGGCAGGCAGGCCGCTCTGCAAGGGCAGAGTGCTGAGAGGCAGCTGCGCCAGCCCTCCTGGTCCCCATGGCCTCAGGAACACACTCAGGACGTGTTTTATTCAGAGAGCCATTGAAGAGTTGAATACAGGGGAGATGGCCAGGACCTGATTTAATATCTTAAAAGGAGCCTGCCCGGGCTACTCTCCCCAGGGCATGCTACTCTCTGCTTTGATGGCCTGTGGTCCCCTTCACCCTAAGAGCAATTTGCAGCCCCCTGTGGAGAGAGACTATCATGTTCTGAGCCGGGACACCCAGGATATATACATTTGGTCGTCTGCTCGACCACTCACCCACAGAATGTGCACAGATCCTACAGTGTTCTCACTGCTACCATGCAGGGAGCAATCCTGCACGCATCAAGGGACACTCCAGGGCCCAGGAGGCAATGGCGCAGGGTCATGAACACAGGTCCCACACCAGGCCGCCCGGCATGAAACCCAGGGCCATCTCTCCAGGTTACTTGGCAAACTGCTCAGCCTCCCTGGGTGTCAGTTTTCTCATGTGAAAAAGGGGTTCACAGCAGCGCCTCTGGTCCCGAGCACACGATCAGGACACAAAGTTGGTCACAGAGTACCAGCTCCCATGGGCCCTGACAGCCATCCCCATGCTCCCAGACACCAAGCCTTCCAGAGAAGGGAAGCTCAGGCCAGAGCGAGCACCTCCAGCCACAAGGTAGGTGTGCGTTCCCTCACTCCTGTCCCGCGGCTTCTGCCCAGAAGCTCTGTGGGTGCGGGACTGTCACCATCAAGCTCAGTAAGGTGCCCCGTCAATGCCTGCTGGCTGCCATTAGCTGACCAAGGGCCGAGCAAGCAGCTGCAGAGGTAGGGGCTGAGCCCAGAGCCCCAAGACCCATGTTCAGCTTGGGGCTCCTGCAGGCTCCGAGCCTGGCACCATCATGAGGCCAGTAAAACCACCCTTGTCTCCAGCAGCCACCAGTCTGGCTTCTCCACGATTTTGGGGAGTCTCCTGGGGACTACTGAGGGGTGAGAGGTGGGATGTGCAGCACAACTGGGGACACAGAGCTGCCACCACCTCTCAGCCACTGCCCTCCCAGGGAAGCCCAGTGCTGCGGGACAGACCCACCTGAGAAGCAAAGAAGGCAGCCATATACCCACCGAGGATAAAATGCCCCCTCCTGACCAAGGCCAGAGGCTCCTGCTCACATGTGAGAGTGGTTCTCCCATTCCCCTGAGCTCCACCCACCTCCCTGTCTATTCCTCAAACATGTCACGCTCATCTCCGGACCTCAGCATGTGCTGTTCCTCCTTCGTGCTCTTTCCTGATCCTTCCCAGGGCTGGCTCGCTCTCCGCATCCAGGTTCAGCTCAAATGACCCCCACAGAGGCCCTCATGACCACCCCCTCCCAAGGAACCCCTACCTTCCCACTCCCTTGTCACATTATCCTGGGAGAAGCACACTCGGAAATTCCCAAGTTGATTCATTTCTAGCTTCCTCTCGGTCTCCCGCATAGCCTGATAAGCTGCCCAAAGGTAAGGACCAGGTCTGAGTGTTCACCACGATCACCACGAGCCTAACATGGGGGCTGCCTCTCAGCAGTGTTTGGTGAAGCAGGTGTGGCAAACATGCCCAGGATGTGAGCACTCATGACGCCACCCCTCGGGCTCTCCCTGGTCCTTCCTGAGTCCTGGAGACCGGCAGGAGAGGGAAGAAGTAGGCTCCAAGCACAGGGCGAGTTCTGCACTAGCTCAAGGCTAGGAAAAGGGGACCCAAGTTCAAGGCCAGCCTTGGGACCTGCAGTCTACGTTCCTTTCACCACCCCAGGACCCCCATGGCCAACAAGCATTTCTGCAGCACCACCTTCTACCTAGCTGGG